CGCCGGACTAATTTTACACTTGCTAGCCCGTATACAACAGTAAACTTCAGAAGAATGCTGCTCACTGATCAGTCCACTTACCAAGTTAATTTGGTTTCAGCAGTGACGTAAAATAAATCTTCACTTGCATGCAGGCGAGAATGAAGCCGAATTTGAATATTTAAGTCAAACACGGGCATAGATTATCTTTGTAAAATTTTAGCTTTCTAGCCTGGCTAGCTCCCACAATCATTTTTTGCTAAAAATATTTTTGACATGTCCGAACGTGTGACATAGGCGTGCATGTGTGTGTGCCAAAGCTCATTTTGTGCCTACATGCTCAGATGTGGGCAGCAAATATTTGCGTAAATTCAAGACATCCTAATCAACTTGATCCTCGAATTAGCATTCTGCCAGCGACATTTCGGCTTCGACTTTCATGCGTCGCTGAAATAAAACTAAATTTGAAATCTGTAACTCATGCAAAAACACAAAGCAATTCTGTGGATTTTCAGCTTCCTATCTCGTCTGGTTGCCAAAATCGGCTTTCGTCCAAAAAATTCACATATTTTTTCGGCCCCCGTACATAAGACCAAGGCGCATGTGAGCGATAATTTTAAAATGGGACAGTTGTACATAGGGTGAGAATATGCTCCGAAAGTTTTGCTTTCTAGCTTCTCCGGTTGTCTGGCTGAAATTGGGCAACAAGATGCGAACACACACATACGCACACACACACACATACACACATACACACACATACACATACACATGCAGTCTCTCGACATGTGCGTTTTGGCATTTTCATAAGTATGCAGCCCAGGCTGCAACGCACCAGGCTCGTCAGTGTGATCGTACGAGCGTTTAACTTGCAGCAACCAGATCGTCAGCAACAGGAATAGTTCTTGTTTTATGGTTTAACATATTTGCTCTGTTGGTCGTGTTTCGGCCTCTTCCTCCATAAAGAAGGAAAAGGGCGTCGGCTGGGATGGTACCGTTGCATTGTAGGGTGGCGTGCAATTCCAACGTGCATGATTATCAATTTCGCATGAAGTCCGCTCGTTTTTATCCCGTCAAGAAGTACATATTTGATAATGCATAATGGGATTACGAAATCGCAAAATGCACTCGCTTTCGGACTCGCGATAAAATTGAGCATTTGTTATGTCCGTGTGCAGGGAATTTTGCCTCCAAGCTGAATTTAGGCCACATATGAGTACTGAATACCCTGCAAAGTCTCAACATCACAGCCTGTCTAAGTAAGCGAAGCCGTCTATTCGCTACAAACATCTCTGACGCGCTCTAGAGCGTGGCCCAAGTGCGATTCGAAACTCCATTTAGATATACTATTCCAGAACTGACGATATTTTGAAAAAATTTCAGCTACTCTTTTCCGGCTAGTTTTCAAGTTAATATAGCGCCAATAGCGAACTTTGATGTGACCATACGTGCGACACAGCTAATTCTGAAATCTTTATGTCGCATTTGCACAGAGAATATTCCTGCAAAGTTTCAGCTTTCTATCTTGTCTGGTTCCCGAGATCACTCTCCCGCAAAAGGATTTGCATATTTTTTTGAGGAGCCCGCACACGGGACCCAGGCGTGCGCGAGTGATAATGTTAAAATGGAATGATCGCACGTAGAATAGGGGCATAATTCCGAAGTTTCAGCTTTCTAACTTTTCTAATTCTCCAGCTGAAAGTGGGTGACAAGTGTGAACACACAGACACACAAACACACAGCCTTTTGCCAATTATGCGTCTTCGCATTTGCATAATTTGAAAAAAGTATAAAAACGCACAAAAGAGCTAGCAATACTCCATAAAGTCCCTAAATGGTTGGAAAATGCACTATTCCATACATGATTTAGTGCTCTTCCGGCCTCCTGGACCACTTTCACTCGTTCCTTCAATAGCGGGATCTCGCTGCCTAAAATAACTTCATTTAATTGCATTTCCAGTTTGTAAGCACTTAATAGTAGCAGCAAAAAGAAGCAAGCGTGAAACCGTCATCTGCTCGAAAAATTTCCCTCATATCGTCCTCGGTAATGCGTTCCATATGGTCAGCGTTTGTGACTGCTTTTCCTTCCTCCAGTGCTCTGTTGATGCAAGCACAGGCCGCCAAATAGCCGGTATATTTTTTTCCTTGGAAAGTTACTTGGAAGTGCGACTTCTCCGACCAAAATGAAAAATTTATTGTGTCCACAAGAAAAATCCTAAAATGCGCAAATTAGCAGCTTTACTCATCTGAGACAGACTCAGCCACTTCTGCTTCTGCCTTTACAAACTTGCTACCGACTAATTTCAGCCAGCTGCTCAAAAGAAAAAGACCCTTTATAACATACACTTGTGA